TTCTGTTTGAAAGGTGGCAAGTAAAGTACCTTACTGAGCTGTTTACTAGAATCACTGTAACCATTCAAGCACAGGAAATACTTCACTGAGACGCAGGGCAAGGATAAATACCTGTGGAATGTAAGCAGTGAATTCCCTGACTCTGGAACTCAGATGTCTGTTAGTGTTTCTGCTGGCAGACACAAAAACTTCATCGGGAATAATTTAAATCAATAATAATTTTGATCATAAGAAAGGCTTACTCAGTCAGTGTTTTATAAACTCACAGGAGGTCAACTTCAAAAGAACAGAATCTACAGCCACCTCTGTTCAGACTCCACTACTGTGAAAGCAATCTATGGAACAATATGGGATGGATTGGCCAAAGGCCCTAGTTCTGCTGATTTCAAGGTAATTTCTGGGCAAAACATAGTAAATAACTTGACTGTATAGTCAAGTGATAGGTTCCATCACATCATAACCCCATTTATTTCTCTGCATGCCTATTAAAATACACCTGAAGACTGAGTACAGGCACAGTTACAGACACATCAAGAACTCTGAACTGGAAAAAAACCTTCTGTGGGTATTCTTTAAAGAATAATTTCACATCACTTGTTTCCCTCAAAATTCTGAGAAACTCTTGACTAGGACATCTGCATCAGAACCTTGCATGTCTGGCAACCAAACAAGTTAATCTACACGCCAGACAGAAAACACTTTCTACCTTGTTCTTCTTAGGTTGACTGATTATGCATCAGCAGGGACTAATTTGTCCCCTGCTGTCTCCTACAAAGAGCACTAACTAGGTTAAGCCTGGCACTTGCAGCTCTGCTGTAGCTGAGCAGGAGGCAGAACAGGGGAAGTGCAGCAGCACTGGGCAGAGATGGTGAGATCACAACACTATCCAATTGCACTAGAAGGGAAAGGGCAAACAAGAAGGAAAGATAGAACTTTGAAGCATACAAGAAAAAGAAATGTTTTTCAAAAAAGCAATCAAAAGACACTCTTCCACAACCTTATTCCAGAGGGAGGCCAGAGAATGGCCATAAAGATTATCCTAACAAGGCAGTTATTTCACCATAAAAAGTTATCAGCTTGGAATAGGGAGAGTAGATATTATTTTAGTTCAACAATCAACTTCCAGAACACAGCTTTGGTCTCTTTTAAGCACAGAAATATACATATATGCATGACATCAAATGCAAGCAACAAAGAGGCATCCAGCCATATGGAGGTATACAGTGCTGTAGCGGATGCCACCACATTCACCCTAGGGACAAAGGCAGGAACTAGGGAAAGATCTCTGAAACTACTGAAGGGCCTTAATGCTGTTCTGTTCGACAGCGACTCTCTCCACAGTCTGACTTCGGGCCCATAGTTCTTATAACCCAGCTGATAACTAGGTTTCCATTGCATACCACTTATGATTTAAAAGAACGGAAAGATCTCTGAAACTACTGAAGGACCTTAATGCTGTTCTGTTCGACAGCGACTCTCTCCACAGTCTGACTTCGGGCCCATAGTTCTTATAACCCAGCTGATAACTAGGTTTCCATTGCATACCACTTATGATTTAAAAGAACAATAACCAGATGGCCTTCTGGTGATACCAGTTCCTTGTTTTTGAATAGCTATTGCAATTAACTGTAACCATAAAACAACCAACCTGTTCACTTCTGATGACTTCAAGAAGACAGGGCTTACAGAACACGTGCGCACAGCGTGTTATCACAGGCAGGGTCAGTGATTCCAGGCAGACTGCACATTCTTCATCTGAACCAGAGCTCAGAACCAACTTCATCTTACTCACTAATGTCTCATGCAGTTCTTCAGGAGTTTTATTATCTGCAGATACAGAAAGATCCTTAAAAACAGGAAACACTCTGAGCTCTTACACATCAACACAGTTCCAAAGTGCAAGCAGGACAGTTGGGTTTTATTATCTCAGTAAGGATACAGCCAAGTACAAAATCACAAGCTGGAAAATACTACATAAAATTCCAACCTGCTATTTCTTACTTGGAAAAATAGTAATTAACATTCAAAGAACCTGACCACATGCTCAGTGTCAAGTACGTGTGTGACACAATGCCGAATGGGAACAAGCTTGTTCTAGTAATAATACTAAAGAGGGGACACTATGGTTAAGACTGCTTTATTACATAAATAAATTCAAACATCTAATTAATTTCTAAATAATTATTGAACAGTTATCTAGTAATTTCTCCATTCTGCATTTTTCAGGAAGATAAATGACAACCTTCTAAAAAAAAGGTTCTGAGCATCTCTCTCTGATCTTTCAGTTCCCTGAAAAATCCCACATACACCAATGGCATCTCAAAACAGGATTTTTCAAAACACAAAATTTAATAATTCTCAAATTTGAAGTATTTTAAACAACAGTTCTTCTTCTGCATAGAATTTTTAACACTATGCAGCTGTACATGTCTGGTTTGTTAAAAATTTCACTCTCCGTCCTGTGTTCACCCTTCCTTACAGACATAACAAAGTTGACAGCTTCCTCTTCTGCTGAGGAAGCAACAGTTCTGTTCTCGAATACAAAGAGGAAGTGCTGTTCTAAGAATGACAGGAAAAGAAATCACCAAAAGCATTCACCCACCAGCTGAAAAACTAGGAGATGATGTATTTATACAGAGATGAGGATGACAACAAAGCTGCCTCAGTCTGAGCAGGACACCAAGGATGTCAGCATAGTGAGCCAGTACAGTCCCTTCACTGAAAAATCTGAAAAAGAGTTTATGGTTCATATGAAATGTTACAGTCTGAAGTAAAAGATGACATCAAGTGATCAATTTTTGCTGTTAGAAAAATGCTCCAATTTTTCACGTTTCTGTTTAAATGTATTTTCTCAAACTGCCTTTGAAAAAAGGCACAAAATGCTACTAGTAGCATGTTCTACTAGAAAAAATACTAACATGGTGACAAAATTGTTAAGGCCATTCTTTATGCACTTGGTACCCATTTCTGTTTCTCACAAGATAGAACTTCTTACGCATAGTTCTGCAATAATCTCTTCTTCACTCCTCATAACTAACCAGATACTGTGCTGATGTGCAGTTATTAGCTCAGGGCATACAAAGTGACACACTTGGCTCCTGGAGCTAATGTCATCAAACCCCAACCTTCAGGATTAAGAAAACCTTCTACTTACTTGCTAATGGCAGCTTTGCCCTCCTTCTTCACAGACTGATACATTTGTCTCTCTTCCTCTGTAAGCATAACATGCTGAATAAGTACTTTACGTTCTGGTAACTCCAAAATGGGTCTTCCTTTAACTTTACTCGTTTTTGTTCTTCTAAGGGTAATATTCCTAATCAGAGATTGTAAACGCCTAAAAATGCATATACAGACAATATATTACTGAAATGAGGCCAGTTTGTCGGTGGTTTGGCTGGGTTTTTTTTCAGTTATTGCATAAATACATGTTCTGTACAAAATACATGCCCAGAAGTACAGTATCATTCATTAATCTGAAATATTAAATAATTTGAAATATTAAAAACTTGTTAATTTGAATTTAAAAAAAATGAAAAAAGAACTGATAACACATGAATTTCAATTGTAAATGTGAAATGCTAATTTGTCATTAGTCCAAAGAATGCCAGTTATAGCTGTTCACAAAAGCTTTGGCAACATTTCATACCCAAGTCCCCCTGGAGCTCCCATTGTGACTGGACGTTGAATTGTTCTGTGCCACCACTCTCGATCAGTAAAAGGTTTCAGTTTTAAAAAGGAAATAAGAGACCACAAATCCTTTACAGAGTTCTGAATAGGAGTGCCTAAAAAGAAGACAAACAGAGACAGACTGTCAAACTTCAAAGAAACAAAAATATACAAAGTTTTCTTAAAATGGAAAGTTCTGTGCTTCCTCCAAACAATTACATCATGGACAAGGTGTCTTATAACTAGGCTGACATATCTTCAGGTATAATAGGTATTATTTTCTTAACTAAAGTATTACAAAACACTTAAATATATAAAAGAGTGAGAAAACTGCAGCTCTCAGTGCTAGGAAGACCTGGAGGCTGGTCTTTGTCTTTCAGCTTCACCATCATTGGTTACATCCTGATCTTCTTTAAATTACATTTAAGTTTTATATGTATGCATGGCCCCTGTCAGCTTCTAGGAAGACTGCTGCCTTCAGAGAGCTCCCGATGCTCAGGGAAGCAGGTGACAACCTGAGCTTCCAATCAGACCTAACATGCCAGCTCATAAACAGGTCCCTTTGTACCTGCAGTTCCACCAAACCCGAGTATCAGAAGTTATTATTTTAAAATTTGTGCCTAGGAACTGAATAAAAACAAAAACTAAAAAAACCAACCCCAAACCACAAAACCAAGCAAACAGAATCAAAACCAACTAAAAGACAACACACTGAAAGCACTGCTCATAGGCAAGGTTAAAAGCATTTCAAACGAATCTGACACAGACAGACATTACCCATCTCCCAGAAAAAGCCAAAGTAGAAACACCACATTTGAAACATAAGACAGTTAAAATAAGATGATCTGCACTGCATTTCCTCTGGTGTCAAAGATTTTACCTGTAAGTATCCATCTTCTGTGTCCCTCCAGATTTAAGGCAGCTTTAGTTTGCTGAGCATTTGGATTTCGTATAGTGTGCCCCTCATCCAACACAATTCTCAGCCACTTCACTTTGTGCAGAGGGCTGTCACCTCTGATCTGAAACACAGTATTTTTTAAATCTTTGTCACAAATTAAAATCCTTTTTTGGAATTTGGATTAAGCAAACATTTAATTTAACAATTCCACAAGTAATAATGGATAGTACTTATTAGCATCCTGTTTATTTATTAGCACCAAAGAGCTAAACTAACATTGAGGCATTCCTTCTTTTAGATGTAATGACTCCTGTAAAATGTTAGCAGTCTGCTTATACTTGAATATGAGCTATGGCAAAAATAAGCTACATCTGAAAAGAAGAAAGGCTTCTAAGTCACAGATATGGAAAATGGAACAGGGAGCAAATTAGAAGTTTATATTATACTTAAAGATGTAAACTTCAGTCTTTTAAAATGGCTGGAATTTCTCAGAAAACAACACTTTACAAATATATCTCATGCAATGAGCTACTTCGTTGCAGCCCATGTGCAACAAGAACTGTGGGTTATGTTGTCATATACTCCACATTCTTTGAATTTGGTAGAGGAAGGGAGGAATAGCAGTCTCATGCCAGTGAGATTTGGGAAGACTTACATACTTGCCAATCCTTTTCTATCCTTAAAAAGTCTCTGCCTTGAGCTGCCATAATTGCAGCCACATAATTTCCTCTACAAAAAAACCCTGCATTTGTTACCCCAGTGAACCTGCAAGAAAGTGTATAAGGCAAAACTGCGGCTCTAAGCTTTTGACTGCCCACCAGATCAGCACTTGAATATCCTGCTATCATCAGCCCGAGCACCAGGAGTCTGGAACAGTGAGGGATCTTCCACCCACACATTTTCTCATTTACTTACTCCATAATCAGTAGCCAAGATGTTGTATGTTGTCAGTACGACGTCTTGTTCTGAAAGAACTGACGGGTCTTTGCAGCGGTCAGAACCATAATACACATGAATATTTACACGAAAATCTTGGTGGATGTGTTGTTCAAACTGGTCCTGAAATAGAAGTTTCAAAGGTAATCCAAAATATACTGTGTTGCTACATGATGGAATAAAATTATTTGAAGTTGCCTTAACTAAAATCCACTTCCTCTAGCTCTATGACTTTCTCTACCCACTCCTCCCAGGTGAGAAGAGGGACCAGAAGGAGTCACCTCAGTTGTTAGTGATAGACACAGTCACATTCTGGTAACTCCAGCTCCCTGGCTGTGAAGGAAGAGCTTTTATGTTCTCTTCCCCTTTCTGTCCATCTTCTCTTTGTTTCTTTTTTCACTGTTCCTTCACAGCTTCTTCCACTTACTGGGTTAACCACCTCCGTTTTTTCAACATAAACAATGGCACAATTGTCAAAGTATTTATTTTAAAAATCAGCATTTACATTCCCTATATTTGTTCTGTGAAGCACTCAACAAACAGTAACCTTGACAGCCAATTAAAAAGTGACGATTTTTGAAGCACCAGACTCTGTTTTCTTTTTAAATACTTAATTTGGTTTTGAATTGACATAAAGAGTACTTTTGTTTTTACACCGTTGGATTTCAATGTTTTACCTACGGTCTAAGATTAAATTGTGTCCTTCGCTTACTAATGTTCTAACCACAGACAGCATAAACTACCAAATAAAACATAACTTAAGTTAAAGATATCTCCTTGACATTTATATTCAAAATGTCAAGCAAATGAAAACTGTAACTAATGCAGAGGCAGAGCAAAGGGTCCTGGTCACCCTAGAAGACCTTCTCCCAGATATCACCAACATTACTGAACATCTCCAGTAAATGAAATGTCACGTGCATTATCAATGACACAATATTTCATTCTGAGAATGCAAGAAGAAGGACTTGTCCCCTCTACTTTCCTCATCTGGTTGAAGGAGTTAAAGCACATGAGTTCCAGAGGGCTCTGCCCAGTCAGAAGCAGGGAGCAAAGCCCACTTGCCACTCGCAGGGCTGTGCATTGCACTGCTCGTTTTTTACATTGCTATCAAATAAACCTCCCTTGTGAAAACTGCTCTGTTTCATAAGAAAGGAAAACCATGACCTTTTACTAGCTTGAGAGCCCACAGGGAGTACTATTATCAGATGTACACATTAAACAGATGAGTACTTACAGCCCAGTTACTCAAGACAGACAGCGGACACACAATCAGTGTTGCTCTGGAGCCATCATCAGAATATTTCTTCTCAACTGTCTGAACACCAGCTGTACCTGAGCAGGCAAAAGTCTTATTTAGTGGCATAACAGTTCACTTTAAAGAGAAGTTCGATAAACTTGTGGTTCTCTGAAGCCTTTTCTATATTTCCTCACCTGAGAGGCATCAAAGCAATTTACAAAGACATAAACTTATTTTATGAAGTCAAATAAGTGTAATACTTTAGCTTCAAAACACTCATAAAGTACTATTAACTGTTTAACCCTTCATTACCTTTTCTCTTCCTTTGTTTTTTTAAACAAGTAGATGAAGGGAGAAGAGCAGAGGCAAAGCTTGTATCTTCTTTGATAACACAGGAAGTTGCTGCAGAAAAGCAAACACAGATTATTTACACCATGCAGAGCATGTGTGTGCATGTATTTTATGACACACTTCATAAAACTCAAGCCTCTTAACCAAATTACTTCTCCTCTCCACTACAATAATGCAGAGTATCTCAAGTTGAAAGGGACCCATAAGGATCATGGACTCCAACTCCCTGCTCCTCGCAGGACTACCTGAAACTAAACCAAGTGGCTACAAGCACCACCCAGACACTCCCTGAACTCTCACAGGCTTTAGGGCAGGAAAGCAGCATCTTACACATCCACTGCAGGTCATGAATCTTCAGAGGAATGCAGGTTCCCAGTCATTAAAAAAACAGGTGTTTCACTCCAAGTACTTTAAACTTAAACTTAGCCGGTTACTCCAGCAGGAATGCAGCATCTTCCACATCCACTGCAGGTCATGAATCTTCAGAGGAATGCAGGTTCCCAGTCATTAAAAAAACAGGTGTTTCACTCCAAGTACTTTAAACTTAAACTTAGCCGGTTACTCCAGAATACCTGTGACCCTTCTTTCTTTTTTTTGCAAGGTACTTGCAACAAATGACACGTTCTTGCCTCTTTGTGATTGCATTTCATGTTTTTACCACAGAAGATGGACTTAATTTTTTGCATTTGCTTTTCCAGACACTGTTCTGTGATGAGAAGTCTATGTCAAATTCTAAATATTCTGCTTTTCACTGTCCATTTGACTCGCCTCATAGCTTGTTATACCACCACTTGTCCTCCTAAGGAAACAACCTACAGCACTTAAGACTAAAATACTGCTTTCTCATTTAGCAGTTTCTAAAATTCTCTGTTGAAAGTTTTGGTTGAATAAAAACAAAACAAAAAACCAAAAATATACATGTAGTTTAGTTACTTTCTTTTCCAATTAATCAGGAATCCTATTTGGTTTTGCTCCAGAAAGGCATCAGGTATTACAGTAGCCAATTAAAAAAAAATAATTCCTTGCAACTTACACTCTGTTTGTTGTTGTAGCCATTCTTCAGACTCTCCCAAGTTACTGCTTCCTGAATATCTGGGTTTCTTGGCCGTATCTCTAAGATATCATCATTAAGAAAGAAAAAAAAACAACCCATAACGTAACTCTACTACTGCTTGAATTTATATTAAATGCCAATTAAATATTAAATGTCAACAGCATAAAACAAATTAACTTGACATTGCAAACAGGATACTGCCATGATTTGAAAGGTTTCTCTTTCAAAGAGTTAGCAAAAGGGAAAGCAAATCACACAGAACTGTAGGGTGAACAATGCTCATCAAACCTGGTACAGATTATCACTAAAGATCACACCAGTTTTCAGAAGAGGCTTGTGTTGGTGGGAAGGTTCAAACACATTAGGAAGCTTCACAACTTCCTCAGCTCAAAACTGGGTCAGAAACATGCCTGACAAATATTTCTTAACCACTTTAAAAACCAGCTGATACTAGAGCATGGATTACTTCACAGCCAGCTTTTTAAGAGGCCACACACTGATGTTATCAGACACTTTTACTATTGAAGGAGACATCCAGGCATGTAGTCACACAAGCCATGTAGAATGAGCTAATGTGTTTTTTATATTCCCCAGTGCAACATAGATACAGAACATGATAAATGTAAGCAGAAGTATAGCACACCGGAAGGTGAAGGGAGATCAGGATGATTTTAGGCTATGGTTAAAAAAAACAAGTACCACATCTTTTTACTCTAAATCTATTTAGCAAACCAACAGAAAGAAAAAGATCATTCCAGGTACCTACCTTTTTGGATGACAACTTGAGTGTCTCAGTGGAGTATTTTCAGACTTTTTAACGTTAGAAACACTAGGGTCCATCACACTGCTAGAGTCTTCATAAAGAAATTGGTATGTATGGAAAATACACAGTCTTCAGCTTAGTTATCAAGCCAACATTAGCATAGCTTGATCAAGAACAAGTACAAACTTCCTTCAAAACAATTACAGTTTTGCACAGGGCAAGTACTACTGATACTGTAGTCACAAATGAAAAATTAAACTAGTCTTAACCAATTTTAAATATTTACAAAGTCATAGAAAGCGTACTGAGTTTGCAGGTGGTCAAGAACAAACTGTCTCACTCAAGAAACAGGTATCGATTTAGTGCACACTAGAATTATTCATGTGGGGGGGGTGTTAAAATGCTCAATGCTCTTCAAAATATAAGAATTTTGAATGCTGCTAGGCATTTCAGCTTTGGTAAAGGTTCTGATTTTTGGTGACACTCCTATTGACTTCCACGGAAGTCTGCATTTTCTCCCTTCCAGACTACTGATAAAAACAGTTTTCACCAGAGGCAGTTCCTTAAGAATGTGTTCTCTCCTCATCAGTCCCTTTCACTGCTCACGTGCTATTAGTTAGGCCATCTGTATTAAAATTCCTTGCACGAGAGGAAAAATGTTACTGCAAGAAAAAGTCAAGCCCCATACATCTTCAGTCATTTTCAAGAGCATGACAAGTTAAAAGACATACTAACAGGAAGTATATTTTTTCACAGACACCTGTAAATTCTCCTGATACAACTTGAAAACTACTGGTGTGATAAAATCTTTCCAAGTACATGTAATTTACCCATTACTTAAAGTATTTCCAAAAACAAACAAAAAAGTGACTTAATACAGAGCCTAATTACAATTTAACTACTAATGTTTACTGTTTAAACAAACAAGATTCTAACAGATGCACAAGTGCTCCTGTTTCACCTACAAGGAAGGAAAAAGGAAAGCAAAAGGAACCCAGAATCCACTTCCTGGATGTGTTAACCTTCCTGGCACGATGCAACCTCCTTACAAGGCACTTCATCTTTTCACGTCACCTGAGACATCCTTACAGGTATGTTATAAATACTTCTCCGACATGTCAAGAGTTTGTAAAGACTACCACTAAACACAGACCAAGAGTACCCCAGGCAGAAAGGTTCAGTATCATGCAAACATTACAGGACTTCCCAGTTTGCTATCACCTTGACACAGTCTGTGTCCAGCTCTGCTCGTGCCTTTAGCTCCGGGCTCCTGTTGAGGAATGGAAACATTTTAATGTACAGACTGGAAAAAATAACAGTCACATGATTACACGAATCTGACCAGTGATTATTTACTGCTCTGAAACACGAAAGCCTTCCTCAGTGGTAAGTCAGACTGTTACTTAAAGGTGCTGAAAAGCCATATTGTTTTGTTTTAATAGCTACATACAGATTTCAAATGAAACTGCAGTGAGGCAGGGGAGAGAAACTCAAGTCTATGCAGTTGCCCTAGATAGAAAACACACCAGTAACATTCCTGTTTGTCCACAGAACGTTAACTGGGGAAGCATTACTATGCTGAATTTAGACACATATGAAAAAAAACACAACCCCCTCCCCCCTTAATACAGCAACGGAATACTGCAGAAAAAAAAATCACGTCAGCACTTAGTTTATCATCTTGAAAATCAAAATAAAAGCAAAAAGTCCTTGAACTACACTACCTAAGAAGAGTTTGCACATTGTTGTTAGTTCCCTTCCTTGAAGTATACTTGACGTGTACACACTCCCAAGATAACACATCCTACAGCTCGATTACACACACTGAAGTAACATAGTCCACCTACCTTGAACTAACCTCCTCTATTCTTCCTTCTATCTGATGTACTTGAATAACTTTTTCTACAGAATGTACACAAATCTCACCACATAGGAAGTTACCTGGCAAGCGTCTGTTTATTAACTGCTATATTATCTCTGTTAAAACAATCTTTTTCTTTCATCTCACCTCATAAAACTTATCACTTGTGATCTTTTCAATAGGAAGAGGCTTGCCATCTTGAAAATTTGTGAGAATCAATGCAATAGTAGTAAGTGTTTTACCCTGCACAACAGAAAAGAATGTCATATTTTCCACAGATTAAAATTAACCAAATGACCAACCAATCAAGAAACACACACACGTTCTGTATTTAAAAGAAAAACAACAGCCAAACAAAACCATGCTTGGTAAGTACTATTACCAGTCCCATATCATCAGCAAGTATTCCTCCAAGAACATTTTGAGGTCGCATCTTTTCTGCAAAATTGGTAAGTACATTGTAATAGAAATTACTTCTCTCTTCCCAAAATGGTGGCAAATCATTACTGTTCTCTCGTGAAACCATCCAAGCTAAAGCCTGCTTCTGATGGGGAAGCAAGGGTGTGCCAACAGCCTGCAAATTAAGGAGGTATGTTATACAGTATTCACATGTTAAATATGACATTGCATTTTTGGAAGAAATGTTTTATGAAGTCCTTTATATCTACCGATTTTTTTCTGATTCGAGCATCTCCTGTGCCCAGACAACAAAGCTAAACACGCATGTAGATGTTTAAGCATTTGTATCTTTCTAGAAAACAGTTTCTAACTTAAGAAATACCTCTGCTCCTTCCATTTCACAAGTTTTATCATCTTCCTTCAGATCCTCAAACAGTTTGTCAAATTCACTTTTAAGCTGCATAAATGAACACAAAAATTGCAATTAAAATTATTGCACTTAAAAATAACCTCACTAAACAACCAATTACTCTATTAAATTACAATTACTTGTCTCTGGTCATCAGTATAGACAGGTCTACTACTTTTGCTGGAACATGTTTGTTACCTACTGCTATATAAAAACTAAGTTCAGTTTTTCCAAGACAAACAGATGACAATGCAAGCAAGAGCTTGAGAAGGGATGGCTAAATATATTCACAACCTTGCACAACACCCACTGAAGTAACTACTTCACTCTAATTTGAAAAAACAAACATAATGCAAAAGCAAAAACAAACCATCACCCAACCCTTCACCTATCAGCCTGGTTCAAGTCTGACAATAAAAAGTCTGGAAGTCCAATTTTACTTTCATTTGTTGCCTGGTGAAATATTAGGACAGATAAGAAAAAAATCCCCACACAACCACAGCAGTGTAAAAAATTATTGAACAACCAAAGCTCCCCAAAATTACACAGAACTCAAGGCTGTCAGAGCTAAAACATCTGCTTGCAGTATAAAAATTAAAAAGCTCAGAAGATCCAAAATTACTTCCAAGCAAATCTGTGGTTCAAAAGGAAAAAAACAAACAACAAACCTGCAACAGACTTCCACTTCACAAGCCCTGTTTTGTTAATGACAAAGTTAGAGGTCCCCCCTGTTAAAATTCCAGCTTCCAAGTGTTTAAAGTGTGAAATGCAAACCTGTTCAGTTGTCAACTGCACAGCAGCATGAACCGGAGCACTGTAACTTGGACCAGCTCTCCCAGAAATCCACTTGGATCCAAAACCACATTCTGAACCTACTTGTCATTAAAAAGACAGAATTTTGAAGCACAGCAGTATGATGACCTCCCAATCTCAGCCTTCACTGGTTCATCAGGGATAATGCTGATCAGACTGTGGGCTGTAAGACAGTATCTTTCACCATATGCTTTTTATCCTTTACTTGAATGGACCACAAAGGCTCCTCCAAAGCTCCATGACTCACAGGCAATGAGCGACAGGCTGGGATCCTTCAAGATTATAGAATCATAGAATCATAGAATCTTAGGGGCTGGAAGGGACCTCAAAAGATCATCTAGTCCAACCCCCCTGCCGGAGCCGGGTCACCTAGATGTCAAACATGTTTCTTAGAAACTGTATGTTACATGAAAATTGTCTCGGTAACAGCATGATGACTGGTCACACAAATGCTTTTTTACTCTGAATGCTTTTTCTGTCAGCTGTGTACTTAGATAAAAACTGAAATCCTGCTCTATATAAAGCAGATCCCTCTCCAAGCCTTTATTTCTGCATGTGTCCTTACTCCCAACTACCACTGCTCCCACAAAGCCTGTTTCCAGGAGTACAGAGGTGCTTTTTGTGCAAAGCTGGCTCTGCAAAGCATCATGTCTGTTAAGCTGATTTGTTCAGAGACATCTCATCTCTGTTTGCTCACATCTCACTAGCAGGATCCATGTCCCAGCACTTAGCTACAAAGCAGCATTGTCCCTCAGACCCTCCCCCTTTTTCTTAAATGGTTTTTTTTTAAGTCTAGAGAAATGCAGGAAATCACTATGGATTTTTAAGGAACTTATGGAATTGCATATATTTCTGGGTTGCTCAAATGCTTCTCTGGTTGCTGGTAGGTAGCATAAAAAGACAGGACACAAAGTGTACTTCTTGTTAAGTTTAAAATTAATAGCTGTGGGCTCTGCATTATTCCCCAATGAAATTGAAAAATCAAGACTATGACAGTGATTAAACCCTTAAACATTTCCTCCAACCAGTGTAAATGTCAATCTGAATATTTTTTAAAGTAAAAAAAAAAATAATCCAAAAACTTCCAAGACTTACCTTTCAGAGGAGGAGCCAGTTTAAATCCATGCTGTTTTAGATGCACTAGCACTGCTTCCTTGTTTTCTTCTCTTCCCCAAAAGCTCATCTGTACAGGCATGGCAAAGGCATTTTTTGCTCCATAAGGGACAACTCTGATAAAAAGCAAGAAAAAAAAAAGCCCACCACAATAATTTTTTATTGTTGAATTTTTTATAATAAACCTTGTTGCTTCTTCAGCAAGAGGTACTTCACAAGCTTACTTTCAACAAAACACAGCCTGTGCCAGAGAGGTGTTAGTACTCATATTGCGTAAACCTTTTATACAAACCACCACACGTGGTTAGAGCTCCATAACAACATTTAGGGAATGTGCTGCCAGTAGTCTACCTTTTATCACATACAGGAAAGAATGAACTGTCTGCAAGTAGTTAAACAGAAGAATAAAGAGTCTGAAAACATGAAGCTTCGATCATATTATGAAGAGCTGTCATTTCTACCAAAAGAGAACGCTTCAAAACAGTTTTCAGAATTAGCTGATGTAGCAACAAAAATGTTTTCACTATTTAGGTTCATGGAACCAAAAGTGAAATTTGGACACTTACCCTTCAATTAATGCTAGTTTGCTGTCCATGATGCCTGCCAATGCTGCTGCTAGTTCTTTTTTTATATGGCCTACCTGATCTCCACTGACATTATTTACTTTCACTGCATTTTTATCATAAGGATTATTGGGCTCCCTCTGAAGTGCAACCATTTCATTGTTATTAACCTAACAAAGAAAAACAAAGACATGCCAGAAGACATTCACTCAATTGCAAATTATTTGCAGAAATACTTAATATACATGTACTTAAATATTGTGCTTAAAAGATTAATTCCACATAGCATTCTGTTTAGTCAGTCTAATAACCTACTACTTACTCAGAATACCAAAAGCACTACAGAAAAGCTAGCTGCTAGATGTCAGCAATCTCAGAAGTATTCCTGGGAGCAAGAACTACCTTCAAGTGCTAACACATTTTGTAAGGGAATAAACATGCAAACAGTTCAAAGACTTTTCTGATTTATTGTTTTCAGTCACTTTCAGCTGCCTTATGTGGGTGAGCAGAACTACCAAATAACTGAACCAGATCTGAAAGCTTGCTACCTTGATTGAATTTTTAATTAAAGATTTAGATTAAGCTTTTCCTGTTAAGAATGTTGAAAACAGCAAGGTAGGAAAAAACCCTCTATTGAAATTATACTTGGTCAAAAGTTCTAGGAATTTTTCAACTGTAACTAAATGTAGCTGACAACAAGTTTTCTTCTGCTGGGTATTTTATCATGCACTTACAATCCCCGTGTAGTATCGTAATCCAACAACACTTCCCCGCAGAGTTCCATACAGGACAGCTGAGTCTGTGTCCTCCTCTGACCCAGAAGGGTCACCTGCAGAGGTGGAATCATCCAACCCGAGGGTGGAGTGAAAGTCAGAAGAGGAAAAACAGGAATAGTTTCTCTCCTCTCTGCAGATGTTATATTGAGACCATTCTCTTGCAGAATCTCTGCAGAAGACAAAGAGTGAAATATCAGACAACTACTTTTATTAAAGTAGTAATAATAATAGAATCACTATTTCCTTCTAATCTATTTACGCCTTCACACAAGGTTACCCATAGACCCCAGTTTTACAATCTGATTCAGAGAATATTTACCTGAAAGTGTTAAAATAAAATTCTTCTATTAGAATAAAACTTTGTCTGCCAGTTCTTAACCCTCAACAAATTAGTTTAAGCCAATTACAATAAAGAGCTGACAACCTGACTCACAGACTGTTTTATGCACTCTACCCTACATTCCCTCATAGACTGTGTTAAGAAGTCTCCAGATTCAGTTACATCTCTAATTATACCTCACACTGCAAAATTTCCGTCTATTTTTCTAACACCCATCTTCCTGATCTAAGAAAAAGGTTAAAAAGACCTGCTTAGAAGTGATTAATTCTGCATAACAACTTCATGTCTAAGTCCACAAACGTTGACATGCTAAAACAACTGTTCCCCAAATATTTATTCAGCTTATCTTTACAACTTGGCATCTATTAATACTTTATAGTAAACTTTAGAGACACTGCTGCTGCAGCCTCTCCCGGGTCCCACACGACACACCACGTCCCCAGCCAGGCTGCCTTGTGGCCAAGGGACCCCCGGGCACATCCCTGGCCCTGCTCTGATGCACGTCTGAGCCAACACCGACACACCAACAACCGTTTTCATCTAGTATGTAAAAATTAAATCTCAACCCAGATTTCAACTGATGCATAATGATCACGGCCTTGGTATAACCCAAAACACCCTCCTGTATTGCTGGATTAATTTAAGAGCACTGCCAACTAAAATAACTAGTTTCCACAGACGAGTGATTCCGAGCCTGGCAGTCCCTGTTTCCGTGGCAAACGGCATCTACAGCTCCGGTACAACCGGCTTTCCGCTTCCGCAGCCGCTGCTCGGAGGCAGCTGCGGGGGCTTCGCCTGCGGCCGTTTCGCCCC